CCAAAACTCGCCAACAATACTATCTTTAAGCCGTGCCTACATTGGTTTTGAATTTGCCCAACAGATTCAGTGATATCGTTGCAGTATTGAAAAAAAACCAAAAAATTACCGAAAACACAAATATTTTCTTGTTTAAAAATGAATAAAAAAAAATAGCCAGAAAAGTAAAAGTTTTGGTCTAAAATCATTTAGTTAAACATATTTTAAATGAGAAAAAATTTATTTCATTCCAATCGGTAGTCCAAAAAGAAAGTTATAAGTATTATAATGTACTTGTAACTAATCAAAAAATTTTCTTATATAAGATTTTCTTAAAATCGAATTATTTTGTTTAGAGATTAAATGTACATAGAAAGCTACTTTAATATAATTTAACATAAATCTAATAAAAGCCAATTGACAATTGCCAATTGCTACAATCACAGCCAATAAATTTGACGAAATTTTTATTTCTTTTCTATTTTATTTAAACAACTATTACTGAGCCATGTGTTGATTGAAAACTGATTAAAGTTTTTTACTAATTTGAGGTCGCTAATTTCCAATATGATCTCCATTTTTTTCCATCAGATTGCGTTTTTAAGTTACAGGTATTAAAAGTATTTTTGATTTTTTTTCCAAAACTTTCAATTTCAAAGAGTCATAACTTTACTCCTCATCGGGCGATTTTAAACCTAGTTAATTTTTCTTAATAATGTAACTGTTAGTTTTGCAAAACAATAAAATCGCTGAAAGAGGAGGAATGTTATGACTTTTTGAACTTTTGTTGATGGAAAAAAATAAAAATAAATCGGGTCTTTTATATTTTTGTGTTTAGGTGCAATTATTCGGCGTCACTTAAGCTATTGTTCATTAAAATCTATGGAGAGACGGCTGATCTAAAATTGGTTGACCAAACCTCCGAAAATCACATTTTAACGTTTGGATCTTTCGCTTACAAATAGTTGCAAGTGGATCTTCAAAATATTTGTCGATAAAAAATGTAACACCTATCCAAAATCAGGCCAAGACAATTATCTGAGTACATGCAAGGCACCGTCCAGCTATAACTGTCTATAAAAACCAGAAACCGGAAAGCAAAAAGCAACCCTGATTTGAGCAGCTGATTTGAGCAAGAAGAAGTGTGTTTTTTTTCCAATATAATTAAAAATGATGAATAATAGAGTTCTGCATAACTTGGAGAGAGAATTTGAGTTTGAAGATGAAGTAAACTTTAATAGTGAAAGGGTTTTTAAGAAAAGAATGCATTTTTTTGGTGATTTGGACAATGCAAGCTTTGCGCACCTATAACGGCTGAACAAAGCATCTTGGTAAATAGTATTAGCTAAAGTAAACAGTAAAATATCCACATTAACTAGCCGGTAATATCCTTACGGATATATCAATCTAAACAGCTTCCTAATTATGGTAGGAGACTTTTGTGGGGTCAGCGTTCCTTCAGCATCCCGAGCGGCAAAGGAAGTCTCTGAAGCGATTGCAATGCTCAACAAGAAATATACAAACCTTGAATTAATTAGCAAAGTAGACAACATTATGTACTTCTAGAATATTGCCAAGTTTCCAAAAGTTATTCGGTCCTTAGATTGTCACCTGGTTGAGACAACGGTGAGCTATTTCGGAACTGAAAGGGTTAATTTTGATTGAATATTCAGGATGTATGCAATGTCAATCTTATGCTAACAAATTTGGTAGCCAGATGGCCTGGGTCTTCGCATGACAGCATCATTTTGAACAACAGTCGCCTAAAGTTTCGACTGGACTTATAAAAATATAAGAATATCCTGTATTATCTACGGAAATGCGTATTTCTATAAATACGGCAATGGCAGTAATAGTCGCATGCGGAGTTTTGCACAATATTGCCATTATAGAAAAAACCCATTCTTGATGAGGAAGATATGAACGTATCAATAAAAACAAAAAATCTTGAACTGAATACTGAAAACCGGAACGAGGAAATTGGACGATATAGACAAATGTTGAATTCTGATTATTTCGCTACTTGAGTTTATTCATATTTTTTTTTAGTTATATTAAAAGATTTTATTAATTTCAGAAATTTCTTTTTCAATTTAATGTTTTCGAGCTCGGCCAAATGCTTTTCCATTTCAATGTTGTGTCTTTCAGAAGCTCGCATATTTTCGTCCCTATTTGACTAAGTCGAGTCTGTCATCTTCTGCTCCTCTCTTTCGATTGAACACACTGAGCTTCTGGGACTTCTTTACCTTAAGCTTTGTTGGATTCCAGCTTTTAAAACCGACTTCTTTCTCTGGGGGTTTCTCTTTAGGATGGGCGTCTTCCTAAATATAGAAAAAATCGTCATACATATGTGCATAGATTTAACTACTTTTTAGTAATTCTTCTTGCTCGCAAGAAGTGGTCTCTTTTGCAAGCAGTCATACAAAAACCGGTTGTTCGCGGACACGATTAAAAACGGAATCGAAAAGACCCATCCGCTTCGTTTTTTCGCTCTTTGCTCTTCGCTGTCGCTCTCCTTATGCATTCGTTCACTTGAGACACTTCGTTGAGCCGAAAGTGTCTTTTGCGAATGTATGTGTGTGCGTGTGTTGCGCGTGTGCCTGCGAGGAAATATATACCCAGTCGGGTGCGGTGCCCCACTCGTGGCAACGTCGCGCCGTGCTACGTGCCCCTCGGGGCTGTTCTTCCGGGTGGGGCATAATCGTGCTAGTAGCGGTTGCCGGTCGGCTATAGTGATGTCCCTAGTGGCCATAGCGTGCCCTTAAAGTGGATAGCGTGCCAAAGTAAGGCCTAATAGCGTGTTCCCTTAAAAAGTAGGCCCTAATAGTGTGTATTTAAGTAAAAAATTTTGTATTTTGTGAAAGGATAGGTAATTTGTTAAAATAATCTTTATTTATTGTCTTATAAATTGTATGCTCACTTTTGTGCGTGTGTCTTCCACAGACCTTAGTTTTGTGCGGTAGGCCGTCGGGTCATTCCGGGCACTAACTAAATCGCCTTAAAAAAAGTGGGTTAATTAAAATATATTCAAAGTTAACATGCCTCTAGTCCGTCTGCGCCAAAAACAAAACACCCGCTTGATATGTACCGTCACTAACTCGTTTTTTTCTGTTTCGTGTTGGAATGAAAAATTTCGTCAAAACCTTTAATTTCGCACACTTTTCTTAATTTTTTACAACGCACAATGCTTTAATTAAATGAACCCACTACCGCCAAATAAACAACCCGCTCACTTCACCGCACAATTCTAACAACGTTTCGCGCCCGCACCAATTCTGTTCGGCCGGTCGTAACGAAGAAACAAGAAAAAGGTTTGGTCACCGCGCGTCGATCGCGCGGCGTCTATTCTACTCGTCTGTGCGGGCAGAGAAATAATCCTGATGACGCGAAGTTGACATTTGTCATCGCTCACTTCTGGTACTGCTGGGTAGTAGCAACAACAGATACCTAATGCTACTACAACAAAAAGACACTTCGTGCATGCACTTGGCTCGTTTTGCTCAGTGACTGATGCTCAGTTGCTGAGCGCCGAAAGCAAGTCTCTCGCTTAGACTGTTTTTGTAGGAAAATACTTGTGCTTCGTTCGCCGCTCAGCACGAGACCGAAAACACGAGAGCAACAAAAATACGTGTTCTGTTCAGAGAGAGAACACGTCTGCTTCATTTTTATCTGCCTTTTCCGCGAGCAGACAGCATAAAAAAAATTGGTTGATCATATTTTTCGAGCTCTGCTATTTAGACTATTTAAATTTTAAAACATGCTGCATACTGCTCTCGGATATACTGCAGCTATTCGTTAAGGCGATCGATTTGAAGGCTCCTGACATTATCTGACATCGAAAGAGTATATGCTGCAGATTTTAACAAAACACTGCAACATAAACGTTATTTACAAAATCCATCATACTTGCCATCATCGTCAAATGATTTTCCAAACCCGTTGCAGATACTTGTAGAATGCCTCCTATTTTTTCGGATGTAGCAGAAACAGAATTGGTGGACGCCTGTTTGCCACAAGTTCGGTATCTGTCCCACTTCTCTGCAGCGAACTCACGTCGGGTTTTTTCTTTTTAAATTGTCGTATTTATCCCTGAGTGCTTTTCATAGCCGAATTATTCTAGTTTGTGCAGCAAATTCTTGGAAGAGCCAATTTCAGGCATCCCACCGGTGACGCGCTCTCGCGCGCTCAGACTCACCACGCTCACGCACCCGCCCCGCTGCCGACAGCCGCCGGCAGCTGACTTCGACTTTAACTTCATTGCAAAACGGCTTTTTGGACGCGATCTCCCTGTAACCTTTTCGAATAAAGAAACAAATTAAAGAACTTGGACTCTACCGCCTTTTATCTTGGGACTATCTGTGGGACACCCTGAAACACCTCTTCGCTCAAACAGACTGCTTTGCGGGGTTAAATGCACCTGGACTAGACGGAATATTCCCAGTCATGCTACAGGTGCCCAAAGACGTGATCACCACATGGCTGTCTGCAATATACTCAGCATGCCTAAGCACATGCTATATCTCAATCCGTTGGAGGACCTCGCGGATTTTCTTACCTTCGTAGTTGTAGACGGGTGCATTCAGAGTGGGCCACCGCTTCCATGGTAAAGGGGGGCGCACAGAGGCACACTTCAAAGTGGGGTCCTGTCGCCCCGCCTGTGGAATCTGGTGGTCACGACCTATTTAAGATAAGGTCGCAGACCAGAAAACCTGGAAACTTTTTTCAGGGCATTTTGGATAGTACGGCATGTATCATAAGGGTGCTTTTTAATAGTAGTAATATATGCTGTGTTAGTATGAGTTTTCATTACGATTTTGTCAGAGCTTCATAGTCAGAACTCAAAAAACTAGATCAACTCCACAGGGGCAAGCTCATGTTCAAGCTCTTTGGACCATAGGGCCGCCAATATGGCTCGTTTGCTCATTAAAATATGATTCTTAAAGCTCTTATTTTGTTTAATGGTGGAAGAGCTGGAAGAGTTGGACGCAAATCCATGGACAACAAAACTCAATGAACACAACGTTTTAACAATTAACCTCATTTATATTTTAAATACAAATTATGTTTGGAAGAAAAGTATTTTGATCTTCTTTCAATTGACCCCTGTTTTGTATCCCTTCTTGTATCCCTTGCACAATTGGAACAAGTTTTATTACAAAGTAAAAAGTAAAATTTTAAATATACAATAAATTCAATTACTTTATATTGTTTTGTATTTGTATTATTTGTTGTTTATTTCTAATAAACAGCATCCACTATTTAATTTACACACGTCATTTTATGTTCTTTAAAATGAAGGTATATATAGAAGTTTAATTTTTTTAAATACACCATTATATTTTCAAAGAAAAAACCATGCTTAAAAATTGCTCGTAATGTATTGTTATGACGCCATCCATGTCAGTATCATGTTGCCGGAATGCAGTTGTTAATGTCTGCAATTAAAAAATGTTGTGGATCGGAATATTAGTAAATACATACAATGAATTATATGATTTATAGATCTTACATGTACAAAGTACAATATATTGCCGCACTCCTATCCGCAATGCACCGAATGACAAATTTTCTAGCTCATTCCGTATAGCACCATCCGGTACATCTCTCTTTCTATTTCTCTTTGCTCTTATAATCTCCGAGAACTAAGCCACAAGGCGGACAGACAGACATGTTTATATCGACTCGGCTATTGATGGTGATATGTACATATGAATATTCTTAGCAGGTTTGTAAATGAAGAAATGAATTATTTGATTCTTTTGTAATTATCTTAATGTGCCTGTATTTTATAGACCCAGTACTCTATTAGTATTAGTCCTCTAATCCAAATCTAATGATATCTAATCAAAAAGCTGATATACACATGTACATATGTATGCATTTAACGATCGATTTAAGCTCAAATATTAAAAAGACCTGTGTGAAAATGGACTTGGTGTTAAACAAAATTTTAATACTCACGTAAAGAACAATACAACACTGTATGAAATCATCAAAAAGAATAGTGCCTCGTCCAAAACGATCAAATTTTCGGAGTAAAACGTCTACGAGGTGGTCAGATAAACGGTACCCAAATGAAGTTAGTGCTGTCTTAAGTTCATTTTTGTCAATATTGCCCGAATTGTCCCGGTCAAAAGAACGAAAGCAATTTTGCCAATCTGTCACATATTTCCACAGGGCTCCAAAATCTTGAAAAGATACTGTTCCTCTGTTTTCGCGATCAAACATTCCAATCATTAAACGAACCGTTTCAGGGTTAAATGCAGACCATGTACCATTAGAAAGGGCCACTTGAAGCTCATCTGCTGAGATGTGACCGCTCCTATCTTTGTCCACTCTTAAATAAAAACAATTTAATTTTGTCATACTTTGTTAGTTTCCGAGGCTTACCTTTGAAAAACATCCCAAAGGAATTGCTGATCTGGCATTCCATCCTGATGATATGCCATCGTTTCATACAAAATATCGTACACCAAATTTATAAATTATAAATTTATACAATGTACAAATTCTGACTCACGAAGTTTTTGTACGCGCAAATAGTGTTTTTCGATATAATACTATCGACTGGCTGAAGAATGATTCGATAGCTATGTAATAGGGCGAGGGTAGTCGTAAGGTAGAGTTTCTCTGTAAATAACCGAATGTATTTCGGGTATTCCAGTGATGATCGTATTCCACTAAGCTTGAACTTAGAGCAGAGGACTCAGAGTACATATCTACATTTTTTACTATGGAATTTTTCATATAATTCGCTAGCAGAAAGCTGTAACTAGGTGTAAATGCACCCACAGGTAAACATTCTTCTGTTTGTTTTCAACTTAGAAGCTTTTACTAAGGCGCTGGTGTAGAGATATGAACGTTGAAAGCGTTGTCAAAATTCCATTACTTAACTCAGCGAAATAATAGGGGACTTTTTACAGATATGACATAAAATCAGCTTTTTTTGTGCCCCTTTATGCTCTTATGACATTATAACTTTGCAGTGAAGAGAGAGATAGCATGAGAGACAAAATGCCAAATAAATGTTCGTATCCGTCTATAGACATGACTATGGATTTCAGTCGAACAACTGTGGCACTATTTGAGACAAAATTATATACAGCCATCAGCCAGCAACATTTTTTCTGAAAAGTATAAAAACTCCGCAAAACTCATGTAGGATATTGAACACGCTGTTGGCTGACACGCCGAAAAGCCTTCCGACTGTTCGGTACTCAGAAAAAGAGCCCAAAGTATCCAATGATATGGCGATACATAACTTTCCTTAAAAAACGCCTCGTTGCTTTAGGGTACATCTTTTTCCCAAAATGTCCCAAACCGTTAAAAAAAAAAACAGCATATATATTTGTATTTATAACAATGCTTTTTTTTATTCAGTTGTTCGTATTTGCCAGAAGAATGTTTTTAGGTAAGAAAAACCTTCGATCGCGAAAAAATTATTTTAGCAGGGCTGGTATTCGACCAGTAGACTTGAATCGCGCTAGCCTGCCCAGATATCCACTGCGTTGATGTCTGTTCATTGACAGTCGTATGCCTGCATTGCAATTCATTGAAGTTTCAATCGGAAACTACCGATATATGCTGCCCCGGTGGAAAGTTAAAATGGCCCGTTTTGACTCATCCGCCAGAGCGGATTCTCTATGAAATTTCTAATATTGAAATTTGAACTATTTTTTTTTTTATCAATCTGGAGTTTATCTGAAGGCGTTAATATGGGGCGAGACAACGCCGGGTCCGAGAGTTATATTCATAAAAACTGAGATAAATTTCGAACCGATCCGTTCCACACTCCTACGACCCATATAAGGTGTACTTTTTACTATTTGTAAATAATCACTATTTGATGAGAATTTATATATTCATATATATACATGGTTAGTTTAGATAATAGCCACCAAAAGTGCATATGCAATGATGCGACTGCATCTTAAATCATGCGGCGTATCATTGGCAAGTGTTGCCGAATTCTGTCTAGTATGGATGGGTTTCGATAGTAAACCGCTGATTTTGTCGCATCGAACAATAACAACAAAGCTAAAAAATTATGCGAAAGAAGATGCAGTTTTGGTGTAAACGCCTCGCATAATTTTTTCGCACCTTCGAAAATGATGCGCCTGTGTAATGTAAGAAGACCATAATCGTTTTAATATGTTCTTGAGTTAAATTTACGTCCTCAGTTTTTTAAATGTCAAGCTTTAATCAATGCATGCATTTTTATTGTTATCAAACCAAACATTGAGCAGCGTTTCATAAAAAAGTTTAGCCTAAACTACAAGATGAAAATGCCCGTAAAATTATAACGGTCGCCAACGGTCGCAAATAATTTAATAGACTTTATTAAGTTAAGCCTAGTACTCAGATCGAAAAAAAACACCTCGCGAACAGAATCAGGGTTGATATTCGTTTGAAACCGATAAGAAATTTTTTACGGCAAAAACTGTTTTCTAGGCTCTGTACGGAAGGCATTACTCAGATCAACAAAAAAAAGGTCGGTATATACTGGAAAAGTATCCGAAGTATTTGCTTATTTTTTTAGTATGTTTAGACCCACCTCGAAAATTATATCAATTTGATACATTTTGCCAGAAAACACGAAGCAAACATTGCAATAAGAGTGCACAAAACCGAACGAAATATTTAAATAATGAAGACAATTAGAATCTAATTAATGCAGTGTTATTTGAATGACAATTATATGGTTATTATAATTTATTATTTTTTATTAATTTTCATAAATATAAAATGAATATTGTTTTCAGAACATTTTTTATTCACGGTGTCTGGCACCGGAGGCGTCGCCATCTGCTGCTGCGGATAGTCAGACACATTACCTTGCCAATAAAATATTAGGGAGCGCAGGATATGCCTGGGGAAAAGCGGCCTCAGCCGAAGAAGTGCATTTTATTAACTTTAAACATAACCAAGCAGCGGTCTGGGCAGTGTAACCGTTCGGAATGCGTTCGGAATGCCTCTGCTCACACCACTGGCCGCTCGAAAAATAGATTTGCTTGCTGGCAAACAGTTTTTGGGTCTGAGTACTAGGCTTAAATACTTTCTACTTTAATTGGACTTAGTTAGATTTTGGTTCTAGTTGTCTCGGGATTAGTTGTTAACTACAATAGACAAGCAAGTTTAATAAGTTTTGTGTAAATTTGGAAGACCCAAATTAATACGCATAAATAACCAACTAACACATATGAAGAAAATCTTTTTTTATATAAAAATTTTTCATATGCAGTGGCTATAATCAGATATCTTTCAAGATTTCTGCCATTTGTGTTAAAGTGTGTGTTTCCATGCAGTGCCTGTAGGACCATAGCAATAAAAAAAATTGTATCTAATGATACGTATCTAAAGCAAAACAATCTCAACTTTTTTTTTTACAAAAAAACGGAGTAGCTCAATAGTCCACACTTGTGTAAATAGCCTATTAAACACTTTTTTTTTTTTTATTTTCATACTGCTGGGAGCTTGCTTTTAATTTTTGTTTCGCCATTTAACAACGTTTTAAGAAAACAGATATTAAATATACTATGCTAATATTATATCTTACATACGGTCTCGCCCTAGAACAACTAATTCTACAAGACTTTCAGGCAGGCTCCGGTTTTCACATTTCACGCTTTGGAATCCACTTTTATGAATTTGTTTACTCTTTGTACTGTGAAGCGCCAAATTTACTGCTGTTATACCCCCGCGTTAGTGGGTATATAAAATAAATAAATTTAAATAAAAATTATTTATAAAAAAGGCACAATCTCAATTGCACTGGTAACGGTGGCAAATTCATGTGAATGACATCTTTTTTGCAATTAAGATTTTTTTAGTTGTAGAAAAAGCCGTTTACTTTTCATTTCGGCGAGGAATTTGTTACCGTTTTGAAAACGGGAGCGCCTGACTCATTGTTTAGAAAAGTAAATCAAATTATTTTGTGAAAGTGAAAGCCGGAGCCTCCCTGTTTAACTAGGCAAAAGAAGGGAGGCAGTGGTGGTTGAGACTCTTTTGAAATGTCCTATATGAAATCAACTGTGAGACTTCTCATTAAATTTAACGGAATTTCACGGATAATTTCATATGTGAAAACCACCCAAAAATTTCTTTAAACACTTCATTCAAAAAAAAGTAAATATATTTATTTTACACAGAATTTCTAGATTTTTAGGGCCTTCCTTAACCGACTCGATCAGGTTAATAAGCACCAATGCTCCTGAAATGATATAAAAAAAAAATATTTAGCCACGGAAGGTAATATTTTCTGAACTAACTTCTTAGTTATGTTCTGATTTTTATAAAGCAATACACATATGAAATTTGATTTTACCTTTGAGGCATTTTAAACAATTACTCCTGGACTACTTTTTCGTCCAGCACATTTTTAAGGCAATGGGTCCTTCTCCAGCAACTTCAGGAATGTTTTGATCTGTAAATAAATAAGTCAATTTGTACCTATATATTTTTTAATTAAAAATGCTGTATTTGCAGTAATGTAAATGGGTTTCCTCGAGCAAAAACAAACATGCGCAGCGACGCACATGGTTAACGGGACCACACCGCTTGAATGTTCTAGAATCTAAACATATTTGTTCTTGCGAAACCCATGTACAAATTTAATTTAACTAACAAAGCGCACTGTAATCACTGAATCCACTTACCTGTCTTTAAAAACACTGAAAAACCACTTTTAAAAGGAATAAACATGTAAATAGACGCTCAACTCAAAAAAATCACAGCCGCTCTCAACAAAAGATTGCACCAAATAATCGGTTTTTCTCCCCTCATCCCTTTGAGGAGACGAAATGCGCGAGAGTAGAAGAGTTAGGGTCGAATGCAGGCAGAGAAAACTAAAAATATGAGAGAGAGGGAAATCTATGCATATCTGCTTCTCTTTCTTACGAGCCAGCTTCGATCTGCAGCAGTTGAAGCTGGTCAGAATTTCATGCTGACGTCGACGTCGCTGCCTTTGTCGACGTCGTGCCCGAACAATTTTTCCTATGACACTTTCATGCCGTGACAGCCAGAACTGCAGACGTCTGCGTACACACACACACTTGCAATGAATGAATCGAACATTTCGAACAAATGCCGAACGTCTCAGGCCCACGACCCGAACGTCTCACCACCACAGCACCACAGAATGGTCCCAGCACCCCAGCCGAAGGCCTTCTGGGGACGCGACTCTACTTGTGCCCGTTCTCAGTCAGTATATAAATTTTTGAGCTTATGATTTTTTAGAATATAAGAATTAAAAAAAAATGTTAAATTTTCCATTTTTTTCTCCATTGGTTATCTACATCTACATCAAAATGTAGATTATAAATGTACCATTTAGATTCTACATCTCCTCCGCTAGAGGGCGCTCGCGTAATAACGAGGCAGAGTGTGCGAGCGAGAAAGAGAATGAGTAGTGGTTCTCATGCTGTAGGTGGCGGGGGGAAGCAACTGAAAATTAATTTCTTCATTCTGGCTAAATTTTTGATCCGATCTGATTCAGATTCGGCAATCTGGTAGATATGGTCATTCTCTACGATACTACGCTTTTACTTTTCTGGTATCTTTAAAATTTCGGAAGGGGGCAGGGAACAATTTTGAAATAACTTCTAGCAGTGTGATATCACATGAGTCTGGAAACCAAATTTGGTTGCCATAGCTCTTATAGTCTCTGAGATCTAGGCGCTCAACAAGACCCCAGCCGGAAAAGTGCATTTCATTAACTTTGCGTCTTTTAAAAAAATGTGTAAGCAAAAAACAACTGACTGAGCAGTGTAACCGTAGGTCATGCACCCCTGGTCACATTCGGTCGATATCATAATATATGGCACATTTTAATAGAAACCATTTTTCGGAACAGAGTACTAGGCTACATATATATTAAATACAAAAATATAATAGTTTTTTTAAATTACACTAGTCAACACTGATGATATTTTTTTTTTCTATGGCAGAACTTTTTTTTAAAGAATTTTTGAAAACTGGTATTTTTTTTTTAAGCTTTTTTCAGAGGTAGCGCTTGTTTTTTTCACATAACTCTAGTATCTTACGTCTGGTTGTAAAGTACTTTGCTATTTTGAAAAGGTAATTAAAACAGCTAGAAGTTAGGCCCAAACACTTTGTGATTACAGCTTACCGTCTGGGAAATATAAAGCATTGAAATGCAAAAATTATGATTTTTGTGCGGTATTTTTTACGAAATTTTGACTTTAAAAACTCAGGAAAAGTCGAAAAAAAATTATATCCTGTGTCCTTTATTTTTTCGTGTATAGGTGCATTAATTTGGCGTCGTTCAAGGTATCGCTTATTAAAATCTATGGAGAGACATTGGAGCTAAAATTCGTTACCCAAACCTAAAATATGGAACAAATTAACAAAAAATACCTTTTCGAAGGTTGCGGGCCCAACTGCCAGTTGGGAACAAAGCAAACAAAAAAGGGTTGTACATTTGGTACCTGATCCCGATCCCAATTCCCAATGGGAATTGGTCTCGCAACCTTCCAAATTTTAAATCTCCATATCTATCAGAAAAAGTCGGTTTGGATCCTTGAGGAAAAAAAAAGTTCGATTTTGTCGAGTAGTGCTATAGGCTGTTTACATTGGGGCTGCGTCATGCTTCTTTGCGTCTTGCCGGAGACGCAGTTTTTTTTACATAGGTTAAGCATAGGGCCCTAGTGGTGGCAAAAAGTTGCGTCAGTTTCTGATTCATGTGCGTCTATTCGATATATTCGATTGCTTTTGCTCATTTTTGGTATTTTCTGCCTATCAGCGCAACTATCACCACTAATAACAACAACAAAATGTAGATCAAAAACCAAATTTTGGCGCTAAAAATGTATGATTGTGCAAAAAGGTGAAAATATACATAGTCATTAAATAAAATACTTGAAACTGATTGTTTTATTATCGTATGAAATTTTTCTGACCCCTTGATGCCATTAAGACACTGCTGGAGACGAACTTCGGTGGTTTTCATAATTTGAAGAAGAACTCCCACAAACTCTACAATGAAATGTCTGAAAATAATATTTAAATATGAGAATCAATTCTTTTTCGTCCATTTTCCTGACGTCTTGCTTAATTCTGTTGATTTTCAAAAATTTGTGTATCTTTCCTTGTCATCAAACACCCAAATCCAAATTCAAGACGCACGTCTTCCAATGTAAACGCCTTTTCTGCTTCATTGCGTCTATGCCGATATCGATAGCAGACGCGCCCAGTGTAAAAAGGCTATTATCTTAGACTATGTTAATATTACCAGTTTCCAATGCATGATGGGATCCAATTTCCTCGGACGAAAATTTAATCAGCATTTAAAATAGGTTCAAGAATGAAAATATGTTAAACGTTGTATTTTATGGTGCTATGACATTAGACTTTGCTGGGAAGAGAGAGATAGCATTACAAATAAGTGTTCGCAGCCGTCTATTGGGTTTCAGTCGAACAACTGAGGCACTACTTGAGAAAAAGTGATGATTTCTAGCACACGCAGCCACCAAGTTAGCAAAATTGTATCCGCAAAGTAAAAACAATCGATCAATATTGCCGCAGCGCTGCTCCCAGCTTAAATGGAAAACCAGCTTGACCCATTTAATTCGCTCGCTCTGACTGCAGTCATTTTCCATATGGCTATCTCTATTTTTGAAGTTAGTCAGCAAAGTCTAATGTCATAGCACCATTATTAATGTTTCCGATATGCCGTTTCTACCAGTTCGACTACAATACCAAACCATATCATATATTTCTCTCGCTCACACTTTCTTTGCCATAAGGTTTTGGTCTCTCTGCCGGAACATTAGGCTGTTTCGTTTCTCTGTTCCGTGAACCAGTTCATTAGAAATTATTGTACTCATTATATCCCGTCCAGTTTCAGTTCATTTATCTGTTTTTAGTCCAAAGAACGAAAATTCGTTCTCATCGGCCCTCACATATTTGTTTTTTTTGGTGACACTGCGTTTAAAAGGAAAAAATTTTAATTTGTATAAAATAGGCGTGCTTTATTTTAGAGAAATATAATAGATACAAACTTAATATGTCTGAACTTCAGTCATCTTTACTGCTAAAGAAACAATTGGCTGGTAAGTTAAATAGAAATATTTAATATATAGGTCTATGCATCTACATACATATTAATATAGATATATTCATATTTCATATAGAAATATATCTTTTTTATGTACATAAAACTTGCCGTCTTAGTTTATCTTCAAGGAATAAATAGTCTTTGTATGCATGTACACACATATGTATATATGTTTAGGGAACTGATTTCCTATTACGATGTCACATGTTCCATAGAAAGGAAACTGCCGGGGGTAATTGTAATATAAAATTATCCAAATATCTTTTTGAATTGTATATAAACATTTTTATAGTTCACTTAGTTAATAGTGGTTTCAGTTTAGAATGAAAAAATTTCGGAGCTGTATCGAGCCGGATACATATTTATGTATGTACATCGGTAAATACATACCTACATCTTCTGCCCATGTAGTTTTCCATTTAAGCGAAAAATGTAAGTAAGACGGACTTTATTGCTTTAATATTTGGTAGTCGCAGAGTATAAGGTTGTGTTGTACAAATGTAAGGAACAGCCGGGTATTGATCTGCATAGACAGCCGAGTCAATTTACATACATATGTATGTATATAAAACATACATATGTGCATGCATACACGTATATGTAGCCTTGTCCGAGAGTATGAACACATGGATCTGGGAGACTCTCGAAGCTGAAGAAACAAAATTGAATGTTGTTCTTTGTCATCAGATTGGGATAAATTTTGTTTTTTTATTTTAGCCACGCCCTCTTCATCCTCAAGAAAATGAAAAATGATCACTCGTAAATGTATTTCATTATAATTATTTAAGCCAAATAGCCGCCTGAATGTATTAACATCAAAATTACGAGAAATCCACGATTACCCCAAGAACAGTACTCTCACACTTTACAAGCTGTACTTATAAGGCTATACGGTAAAGGATATTCGAATTTTTTTAATATGCACTGCATAATCAGGATCGCAATCAATGTCTCTCTGTCGGCTTTTTGTTCCTATGTAAAATTATACCTCAGCTATAAGGCTCTGTACTTAATTTTCTTCTATTAAATTGAAAACTCCAAACTGCTTTGATCGTATCTGTATACCATAAAGCCGGAACAATTACACTACTCGACAAAATCGAACTTTTTTTTTCCTCAAGGATCCAAACCGACTTTTTCTAATAGATATGGGGATTTACAATTTTTTAAAGAATTATGGTTTTTTTTCTATGGCAGAACTTTTTTTTGAAGAATTTTTTAAGTCTGGTATTTTTTTTAAGCTTTTTTTAGAGGTAGCGCTTGTTTTTTTCCTAGCCTAGGCGCTATTTTGAGAGCCACCGTGATTCGCTCCGTCTGGGCAAATGTGGTATTTTTACGAAATTTGACTTACCAATGGGGCGCTCGGTACGCTCATTAGAGACTTGGACCAAGCCTAAAAGGAAAATAACAAAAATACCCGGGCCACCCAATGGAACAAAGCAAACAAAAAGGGTGTACGGTACCTCGCCCAATCCCAATGGGCAGTTGGCCAACCCCAAAGGTATTGTATCCAATGGAGTTAAATAGCCACCCATGGCGATACCGACGACGCCAAATATGCACCTATACACAAAAAAATAGAGGACACAGGATATAATTTTTTTTTCGACTTTTCCTGAGTTTTTAAAGTCAAAATTTCGTAAAAAATACCGCACAAAAATCATCATTTTTGCATTTCAATGCTTTATATTTCCCAGACGGTAAGCTGTAATCACAAAGTGTTTGGGCTTAACTTCTAGCTGTTTTAATTATCTTTTCAAAATAGCAAAGTTCTTTACAACCAGACGTAAGATACAACAGTTATATGAAAAAAACAAGCGCTACCTCTGAAAAAAGCTTAAAAAAAAATACCAGTTTTCAAAAATTCTTCAAAAAAAAGTTCTGCCATAGAAAAAAAAATATCATCAAACCATTTCTAAGCCCCAAATCTTTAAGAAAAAGTTCGTTTTGTTCCTTGAGGAAAAATCGTGTTGACTAGTGTTATTGACAAAGTGATTGCGAGAAAGGTTTTTTTTGTTTCTGAGGATATTTTGATCAAACGGGTCAGCTTTTATAATACATATACATATGTACATAACTGTTCTTTTAAATGACTTCCGCCCTTCAGTAGGCCCCGAACCTTTCTTTAAGGTTACAAAAGATATCGGTATGAGCATTTAAAAAGTTTTGGATAAAAGCTAAAATTCCTAGGCTAAAGTGCGACTTAATTTTAAATTTTTGAAATACGTTCGATTCGTGCCACTACATGGGTTGTAATAAATTTCTAAAGATTTGTTTCTATGTCAGAAAGATCTAGTGAAATGCATGTAAAATATTATACACCGCAAAAATCCATACAAAGCATAGACATATTAATACAATAGAAAGTCGTAGTTTATATTAAGTTTTTACCTTGATAGCTTAGTGTAAGATATGTTTTGTGTTGCTGTATATGTTCTTTGTCAAAATCGCGCACTGATACGTAACATTCGCACTCATATTTTAACTGAAACGGTCGCAAAAACACATGAAACTGTGTATTTTAAATATGTATTGTATTTGAATTCAAAATTTCAAATCAATATTAAGATTTTATGCTCAAATAGATTTAACTGTACGCGTTTCTCTTTAATAACAGAGTTATGAACGTCTAAAATTGACTGTTATGTTACACAAATTTTGAAGTAGTTTTGCAAGTTGTGCAACATTTTCGAAAAATGTTTCTCTTCTGTTTGACTATTTTTAACGAGTAGTACATTTTGTAGCTTAAGGATGGAAGTAATAAAGTAAATTTTAGTTATGCCATAAACAATTTTTTTCCTTTTTTGACACGCAAAAAGGTACGCACTGTTACGTTACATAAAAATACTATTACGTTACATGTTCAAATTGCGTGTATTTCTTTATGAAAATAATTTTTAAACTGAAAAAAAAAAAAAAATAATTTTATGATATAAAATGTCAGCGCACCAAATTCAAATTATTCAAATTATTAATGGAGTTTTAATACTAAAAAAAAAGATTACAATCTTTATAGATTGATATAAAATGTCAGCGCACCAAATTCAAAGTATTCAAATAATTTTCGCGCTATTAACATCGCAGGTGTGTTCAAAAAGTAATTTATATCAGAAAAATCACCATCAGTCACCACTTTGATGTTGATTTTCTATTCTGAACTACAAAGTGGGAAGCACATTTGTCTATGCATTCAAGAGACAAAATATGCTACTTCACAATCATTTTTTGTAGTTGGTATTGGCCATCAATACAACCTATCCCATGGGAAGTTACAAAATAGTTCGAGTAGATTTTTATTTCGAATTTGTATTCTATAGAGCTTTGTTTATTTTTATCTTCACATCAGAAGCATGTTTTAGTTTTAAAAATCAATATTATATCAAAATATTTGATATTTGATGAAAAAGGCTGTTAAGTTACAAATGGAATTCGTCTCAGAACAAAGACAGAAATAAATATATTTCTGATTTAATTTATACTCTCCGCTGTGCAACGACCGAAGAAGTGAAAATTTTCCAAACTATCAATAGTGTGGTGTTGGTCATTTTATTTTATTATACAGTGGGAGCAATATAACCCAAAAAAAAAACTATAAAGAACCATCGAAATTGGAAAAAAAAGGTTTGACGTGTTTTTTTTTTCGCGCGTTTTTTACTATTAGATTTTGACTGCCTTCCGAGCTCACTCGATCGCCAAACGAGGAGTGCAGCTCACACTAAATCGACCACATTTTAAATTGGGGAAGTTCGAGAAACATGTCAGAGATCTCCTAAGAAGAAGACAACAGTAAGAAAAAAAACAATGGGAAAACAGTACCACTTTTGCAGTTGGCAAGTGCGATACGGTTTTGCGATGTCAGATTTCATAAGAAAGTCATTAGGAAGGATAATAATTTGGCACCAGGAAATCTGTGTTGCGTCCAAACTTTCATGGAAAAAAGTATCCACATTTTTCTCCTTTTATTACATGAACATTTCATTCTGATGCGGAGTCATGTGCATGTCTGTAAATGGAGAAGAAGTAGCAGTTTACAATTTAAATGATTTAAACAAATGTTATTTTTTTTTATTATTAATTTAATACCTTCAAAAGCGAATTGAAATAAAAAAAAAGCATAAAACAAATTGTTTGTTTAACCTGCTTATGGTTTGGTTGGTTTTGTAGGAAACGAATGGTAATTATTCTAGAGATTTGACCAGACGATAGCAAAAATGTAAATAAGTGATTAAATAGAAAGAAATCTGAAATTCTGCTGTTGCAGATAAACAGAAAGTCTGAAAACTGTCAACTCTTTTATATGTTGAACCAATCTTCTAGGCACTAGTACTAGTACTAGAGACTTTTAAATCAATCCAGAATTGGTCTCATGTCACCTGGAATTCCAGCTGTGTTGAAATGCATTCCGCCAAAAGGTCCACCAGGCCAAAAATCATAAAAAGTCAATAAAAACCATATAATTTTTTCCGGATATTTTTTTCTAAATTTATTAAAAGGTAACTAATTTACTTTATTGACATATAATTTCATTAACTTTCATCCTAAAACCTATGAAAATTAGCAAAAGTTCACGTTTTTGGTATTTTCTGGTATTTTTATAGACATGTTTTCTTTTACTATTATCTCCTAGGAAGAAGATGATTCTTAATAAAAGTTTCTCCTTAAAGTCTTTCTAACATATTAAACTACCTGAAACCATTATCAGAACGTTGGTCCAACCTCGGCTAACAGTATATTTTTAGGCTTTTATAATCGCGGAATTCGGTAACGTCACGCCAGTAACGTTCGCCAGATGCCTCCGCGGATTTTTAACAAAAAAAGAGGAAAAGTTTTTACATTTAATAAGTTTGATAATTAACTCTCAATACTTCATTTATTACCACAAAAAATGTTATACAAATAGCCCTATCCAATTCGCAGAGTTTTGCCATTTTGTACCCCAACCTCGAAAACCACTTCTGTTTTATGTAACGCACTTTTAGGTCATACTTTGGCTTATATCTTTAAAACCGTACGCTCGATTATTTCCACTTTGCTGGTGAATGTAGGTCTAACCAAATCATATTCAACGAGGATAATCTTTTTTCCAAATTTCAGCTTTTTGACTATTTTTTTCAACATTTTGTCGTACGAATGTAACGTAACGCCAGATAGGAACTGCCCATATACAAAACACAATTTTAATTAATTATCTATATTTTTTTCGTTTCAGAACTAAACAAAAATCCAGTAGAAGGTTTCTCAGCTGGATTAATTGATGAGAATGATATATTCCGCTGGGAAGTTCTAATAATTGGTCCACCAGATACACTTTAGTATGTTTATATATGTAGATATTTATTGTAAATTTGAACAGTTCGTTCAGATGTTCCAGATGTTTTCACCACAATGAACAAACATTTCCGATCGCAAAAATCCCATAGCTAATATAGAAACACTTGCAAGTTCAGTAAGTCGCTGATTTAATACAAAGGACATTTTTGTTTGTTTAAATTTTCTTTTAAACATTGTACATATATAGATCAAGATCTAGATATCTACATGTAGTACCACGTATTATTCTTGGCATTTCCACAACCTTGTGGTAAGTTGTTTTGCAGTGCTCCCGAAAAAAAGTGTCAAACGCAGCATTTTGATTTTAATTTTTTGGCTTGGAGAAATTCTTTGAGATTTTGGAGCTTTCATTAGTAACTGGGTGGGAATCTGATGAATTTAGTGGATAAAAGTAAATTGAAATGAAATTCTTATAGTTCATCCATGTTTGACAACACTTTTTCTGAGGTAGTTGCCTCCTAGGAACGACCGGGGAGGTCAGTAAATCTCCCCAGTGCTTTTACATCCGTGTTTGTTCCATTTGTTCCATGTTTCTCCATGTTTTTAATCTGTATCAACGGCTAAGTCAATATATGTACATATGTAGGCGGCGCAGTTTGTAAGACGGAACCGCCAAAATCGGACCACTTTATCATATATATGTATGTATGTGTGTACAGTTATGTTCAATGAAATAGTTTTTCAAAAAAAGTTTTGAAAGTGGTGAGTGCAAACCACTTTCAAAACTCTGAAACATTTCTAGTCTTCAAAATTGGACAAGTGGTACTAGAAACCCTAAGAAACCTTGTTACATTTTCATTCCATCTTCTTGTTTTTCATGATTTTAAACGAATATACCCATTAAATCTGCTGTTTAGTGAAATAGTAGTGCTGGGTTAAGGTATAATGCAATTGAATACTATGTAGTATGCACTCTCACTATTGTATTTAACCCAATTTACTATAAAAATCAGACTGAAAATCGAAAAACTTATTTTTTATAGGATGGTCGAAGATGGTTGAAGGCAAGACCAAAGCCTTCAATACCCTCAAAAATTAAGAAATATATTTTATGTCGCTCTGTCATAAATGTGACAGTTCATAGACGACTGGTTACACAATTTATAAGTGCAAGAAGTCTTAGAAGTCTAAGCGTTTGGTCATAGAGCACATGGGTGCACGACTCAACTTAACAAAAACGCATGTAATGCATAGTATCCAGCACCGCGGAATCGAAAACTTCCCGTCAAACTTCATATAAAACGAGAAGGAACGTGCGAGTCGCTTCTATGGAAACGACTCTACTTTTATACCCGCACTCAGTCAGTATATAAATATGTGAGCTTATGATTTATAAAATTTAAAAATTTTATATTTGAATATTCTTTTGCTACATCTGTTATCTAAATCTACAATGTCGATTCCACATATAAAATGTAGATTCTACATACACAGTGTAAATTCTAAATCTTTTCCGCAACGGGCGCGCATTGTGTGCGAGCGAGAATGAGTAGCGTTATCAGCGCTGGAGGAGGTGGGGGAACCAACTGAAAATTAATTTCAGATTTGGCAATTTGGTAGATATGGTCATTCTCTATCATACTTTTTTGTTTTCTCGTATCTTCAAAATTATGGCTGCCACAGATTTTCGTCCTTTCTGTGGTCGGAAGGGGGCGGTGCAAAATTTTGAAATACACTTGTAGCAGTGGGATATCACATGAGTCTGGAAACAAAATTTGGGGGCTCTAGCTCTTATAGTCTCTGAGAACTATGCGCTCATCAGTACGGACAAACGGACAGACTGATATGCTATTGGGGTCGGAAACGTTTCCTTCTCTGCTTGCTAATGTACCCCTTAACTCTTTTTGAGAACGGGTATATAAAACTCTAGCAGGAATTTTTCGTTTACGTTTTCCTGGCACAGTTTTTTGTACCTGTACTCGAAGAGTTTAGGGGTATATTGGGGGTATAACGCAGAGAAGGAAACGTTTCCGACCCTATAAAGTATATATATTCTTGATCAGCATCTATAGCTGAGTCGCTATATCCATGTCTGTCTGTCTGTATAAGATACATTGCGAACTTGCACCGGCCGGATATGGGTCATTAATCTCTTGAGCCAATAATCCATGAACCACTTGCTAAAACTTGTCTCTGGTTCACGGATTTGCAGTTGTAACAACGTATTTGGTATTCCAGCATAAGATTTCGATGAGATTAATATCCAGTTGGACAGTTGGCCATGGCAAAATGTCGATCTTTTCCGATAAAAATCAATTCCTAGCCAGCTTTTATGGGTATTTTAAGTCATTATCCTGTTAAAAGATCCTTTTAACATGAATTTTTCAACTGTAATATGAATTTAATGTATTCTAAAGTATACCTACATACACAGTTTCGCTCAAAACCATAATATACTCAAACGCTAGGCTAGAAAGTACTAGCTTATATGAGCTGGGCCCCATAGGGCTCAGCCTAGCATGCCCCATGCTATATTTTTCATGATTTTAGGTGGTAATCGGATTTCTGTGAATGCCAAACATAATCTTTTGAGTTTATCTTACCATATAATACAACTTTACTATCATCAGTCAAAAGCATTTTTGTCACTGTGAACACAGGCCAGACCACATGCGATTTTCCAAACTGAAGTCGTGCACCCATGTACTCTCAGATCCAAACGCGGAGCTTTCTGGGACTTCTTGCATTCAAATAATGTATAATAGACCGTCTAAGAACTGTCACATCACTGACAGAGCGATTTAAAATTGTTTTCATAATTTTTGAGGATATTAAAGGCCTGGTCTTGCCTTAGACCATCGCCGACCATCCTCTAAAAAATATAATTTTCGCATACAAAATCGATTTCCAGTCTACTTCTTTTAGTTAATTGGGTTAAATACAATAGAGAGAGTGCATACAACTTAATTTTCAATCCCATTATACCTCCTGCCTTAAGTTTTTAGTCTAAGGTTTTTAGTCTACTATTTCATTGAACAGCAGATATCATGGGTAGTTGTCTAAAGTCATAAATAACAAGAAGATAGAATGCAAATGTAATAAGGTTTCTTCAAGTTTCTAATGCTTACATTCCAGGCTTTCCGTAAAGGTATCACTTGTTCAAATTGAAAGACTAGAAATATCTCAAAACGGGTTTTGAAAGTGATGAGGTGCGGCACTACTATTTCATTGAACACAACTGTATATCATAAGCTCACATATTTATATACTGACAGAGTGCGGGTATAACAGTAGAGTCGCGTCCACAGAAGCGACTCACAAGTTCCTTCTCGTTTTATATGAAGTTTGCAAGGAATTGTTCGATTCCACGGTTTTGGATCGCAAGCTTAACCTTAACCTGTGTCACAGTGACTCAAAGTACTTTTTTGACTGATGAAAGTTAAGTTGTATTATATGGTAAGATAAACTCCAGAGAATATGTTTGGCATTCACAGAAATCTGATTACCACCTAAAATTTTCCAACTGGATCTTAATCTCATTGAAATCTTATGGGGGAATGTCAAATGCATTGTTGCAACTGCAAATCCGTCAACCAGAGCAAAGTTTTGGAAAGTTGTTCAAGGATTATTGCCTCAAATCCTATTGAAGCGTTGACAAGAGATTATTGACTCGTGCCAGTCCGTAATGAGAGCGAAATTGATTAAAAACTAAATATTAAACCTCAAGAAGCATGTATAACATAAAAAATAGGTTTTAATGTGAGTTTTATTGTTTTTTTTTTTGTTTTTTCTAAAAATTTCATTGAATAGCAAACTTCATGGGTATTCGTCTAAAATCATATAAAACAAGAAGATGGAATGCCATTGGTACGAGAATTCTTAGGTTTTCTAATGCCTACATTTGAGTTTATTCACAAAGGTATCATTTTTTCAATTCACTAGTTGAAAATGTATCAAAAAGATTCGGTCCACAAAGGTTTTTTTTAAACAAGGATTGTAGAAAATAAAAACAATTTTGTGTGTTTTACAGTCGGATTAATCGGCTATATTATTCTTACAACTTTTTTTTAATTTATCAAATCTTATTTCTTTCCCTGCAGTGAAGGAGGCTTTTTTAAAGCACATCTTTATTTCCCCAAAGAATATCCTTTGCGTCCACCTCGAATGAAGTTCGTCACAGAAATTTGGCACCCTAATATTGAAAAAAACGGAGATGTCTGCATTTCGATTTTACACGAGCCTGGAGATGATAAGTGGGGATACGAAAAAGCATCAGAGCGCTGGTTACCCGTTCATACAGTGGAAACTATCTTGATATCAGTGATATCAATGTTGGCTGATCCCAACGATGAGTCTCCAGCAAATGTAGATGCCGCCAAAGAGTGGCGAGAATCTTATCCTGACTTTAAACGCAAAGTAGCTCGCTGTGTCCGAAAAAGTCAAGAGGAGTGCTCGTAGAAGGTGGATTTGCCCTATATTTGTATATTTATATTAAAAATTTGATACATTAAAAAGAATAACTGAATTAACAGACGAATATTTCATTTTTATTAAACAGAGTTGTAGGAAAACTCTAGATTTTAATTAAAATAAAAAAAAAAATTGTGTTGAATTTTTAGTTTTATGTTATACAAACACGAACAGGACAAATTAAAGTATATTGTCCAAAATTGCATTTTTATTGTTAGTCCGCGAACATGAGTAATAATATATTTTTACTTTTATTTTCTATTAGTATTTTTTATATCTTGTATAGATGCTTATCTTATCAGAGTTTATTAGAACAGTTTTTAAATCTAACGCTGTCTGCGGTGTATCAAATATTTACCAATAGATAGATATAAATCGTTACATCGATTTGGCTTGTCATCCTGAACGAGAATTAAGGATGTGGTCAGAGATTCTTCCTTCTGTGAGTAACTAACCTTCTTCTTCCGTTCTAAGATGCAGACACACCAGTTAGGAAAAAAAATCGTATTCATATTCTAGGTGCTAATGCCTTTTAATAGCGTACTATATGATCTTGAGCGACCATGTATTCAAAAATATGTATCTACATGTGACTTGTGCTAGAAAAAAGGAAAGAGCAAGAGAGAAAAGGAATACACATGATGTGTTGTTGCAATTTTAGGATTTTAACTTTTGAGTATCAAATTTGAGTCCAAAGTACTTTTAGAAACCAAAAACGGAACAAGCAGCATGATGGACGTGGTGCCGTTAAAAAAGGAGGGTAGAATATCGGATCTAGCGTTGGTAGCGTCGAAGAGAGGAAATTAGATGCAATGGATGCTAAGGAGACAAGGTTCAGGAAAGCGTGGCTGGACGGTGCCCTTGCATGTACTCAGATAATTTTCCTGGCCTGATTTTGGATAGGTGTTACAGCAACATTTTTTATCGACAAATATTTTGAAGATCCACTTGTAACTTGAAAGCTTAATATTTCCCAGACAGGAAGCTGAAGCTACAAAGTAGAGATGTGCATGGACTGCAATATTCCGGCACGACATAAAACGGCACGAAAATGAAAAATTCTAACACGTAATAACAATTTATCAAGGTTAGAGCTTAATAAGCGTATACGGCGTTCATTTAATATCGGTCCCGACTTAGAAAACACCCTCTCGCTTGTAGCCGGGCTGGCTGGAACATTTAATATATTTCTAGCAAAAAGCTGCAACGCTTTATTGTTATTCGCATTCTTCCAACATTTTAGTACATTTGTATCCGGCAATAAAACCTTAGGTTTTTTTTGTTTGTCGTGTTTCGGGTTTCGTGCCGATTTTACTCTGCACGAACACGCACGCCCATGGCCAAAAAAACACGGTTCATGCCCACCTCTACTACAAAGTGATTAGGTTTAATTTTTAGCTGCATTTATCAGTTTTATAGGATGGCAAAGTCATTACAACAAGATGTAAGATATCTGGAGAAATAAGGTCTACCTCTGAAAAAGCATACAAAAATATGTTTAAAAAAAAATTGCCATGAAAAAAAATTTTAAATCTTAAAAAAATTTTTAACTCCCCATATTTATCAAAAAAATTGGTTTGGCTCGAAGCGTAAATAAAAAGTCTCATTTTATCGAGTAGTGTTATTAAAAATCTCTGTAAGCAATTGAAATGATCTCCACAAATGTTGAGATCCCCTTTTATAGAATACCTTCGGGCCAATTAGGAAATATGCTCCTTTGTTTTGACCCCATTTCTTAGAAACTACAGGTGGATTTAACTGTTATAGTTTCCATTTCTTGAGGTGATTTATCAGGTAAGGTATACACTTTTAGTACCCGTACTCGAAGAGTGAAGGTGTATATTGTATTTGTGGTAAAAATGGATGTGTGTAACGCATAAAGGAAACGGTTCCGACCCTATAACGTATATATATTCTTGATCAGCATCAATAGCAGAGTCGATGTAGCCATGTCCGTCTGTCCGTCTTGATGAGCGCCTAGATTTCAGAGACTATAAGAGCTAGAGCCGCAAAATTTTTTTTCCAGAATCGTGATATCACTCTGCTACAAGTGTATTTTAAAATTTTGAAATACATTTGTGGCAGTGTGATATGACATGAGTCTGGAAACAAAATTTGTTTTCTCCAGCTCTTATAGTCTCTGAGATCTAGGCGCTCATTGAGGCGGACATACGGACGGACGGACGGACAGAAGGACAGACGGACATGTAACATGTAAAACTTTTTTTAAATTCTAAAAAATTCTAAGTAGAGTCGCGTCCCCAGAAGCGACTCCAACGTTCCTTCTCGTTGTATTTAATGCGTGTATTTGGTAGAGAAACTGCATAATATCGTTGTTTATGGCAATGTATTACAATATAATAACATTTAAGCCACTGTGCATCTTCAACAAGCTGCCTATTACTTTTTGAGGAAATTTGTCCTCTGCAAGCGTTACACCCAAGATGCCGTTGAATCGTGGTAGCGAACCAAGGCTCTTTCGGACGATGTGGTGATTATTTGTGGTGATTTCTTTAATATTTTTTAATTTTAAGCGGATTTTTCAGTGTTGTCCACAACTAGGCCTATATTTATTTTTTTGTATTTTTTTATCATCTTTCTGCACCTTCTGCCAAGAAAATAGTAACTTCACTTTCAAGCATTGCGACTCAGATTCCGATAACACTAGTCAACACGATTTTTCCTCAAGGAACAAAACGAACTTTTTCTTAAAGATTTGGGGCTTAGAAATGGTTTGATGATATTTTTTTATACCCGTACTCAAAAAAGAGTTAAGGGGTATATTAGATTTGTGGTAAAAGTGGATGTGTGCAACGCAGAGAAGGAAACGTTTCCGACCCCATAAAGTATATATATTCTTGATCAGCATCAATAGCCGAGTCTATATAGCCATGTCCGTCTGTCCGTCCGTCTGTCCGTCTGCCCGTCCGTCCGTCTTGATGAGCGCCTGGATCTCAGAGACTATAAGAGCTAGGGCAACCAAATTTGGTTTCCAGACTCATGTGATATCCCACTGCTACAAGTGTATTTCAAAATTTCGCCCCGCCCCCTTCCGCCCCCACAAAGAACGAAAATCTGTGGCAGGCACAGTTTTAAAGATACGATACAACTAAAAACGCAGTATCGTAGAGAATGCCCATATCTACCAGATTGCCGAATCTGAATCAGATCGGATCATAATTAAAGCCAGAATGAAGAAATTAATTTTCAGTTGCTTCCCCTCCCCCTCCCGCCCACGACAACGCAACTCATTTTTCCTTCTCGCTCGCACACTCGTTCAGTGCGCGAGCAACCCCTAGCGGAGGAGATGTAGAATCTAAATGGTACATGTACAATCTACATGTTAGATGTAGAGTAGACATTGTAGATGAGATGTAGATAACAAATGTAGCAAAAAAATGTAAAATGGAAAATTTTTTTTTTTCTAAAATTCTAAAAAAATCATGCTCAAAAATGTATATACTGACTGAGTACGGGTATAAGTAGAAGTAGAAGTAGAAGAATTTTTGAAGTCTGGTATTTTTTTTTAAGCTTTTTCAGAGGAAGCGCTTGTTTTTTTTTCAACTAACTCTAGTATCTTACGTCTGGTTGTAAAGAACTTTGCTATTTTGAAAAGATAATTAAAACCGCTAGAAGTTAAGCCTAAACACTTTGTGATTACAGCTTACCGTCTGGGAAATATAAAGCATTGAAATGCAAAAATGATGATTTTTGTGCGGTATATTTTACGAAATTTTGACTTTAAAAACTCAGCAAAAGTGGAAAAAAAATTATATCCTGTGTCCTCTATTTTTTTGTGTATAGGTGAAAAACAAGCGCACCCTCTGAAAAAAATCTTTAAAAAAAAATACCAGACTTCAAAAATGTTTCAAAAAAAAGTTCTGCCATAGAAAGAAAACCATAATTCTTTAAAAAAAATTTAAATCTCCATATCTATCAGAAAAAGTCGGTTTGGATCCTTGAGGAAAAAAAAAGTTCGAATTTGTCGAGTAGTGTAATAGATGTTAAAAAGTGCCATCCTTCTTTTTATACCCGTACTCAAAAAAGAGTTAAGGGGTATATTAGATTTGTGGTAAAAGTGGATGTGTGTAACGCAGAGAAGGAAACGTTTCCGACCCCATAAAGTATATATATTCTTGATCAGCATCAATAGCCGAGTCGATATAGCCATGTCCGTCTGTCCGTCCGTCCGTCCGTCCGTCTGTCCGTCTTGATGAGCGCCTAGATCTCAGAGACTATAAGAGCTAGAGCAACGAAATTTTGTTTCCAGACTCATGTAACATCACACTGCTACAAGTGTATTTCAAAATTTCGCCCCGCCCCCTTCCGCCCCCATAAAAGACGAAAATCTGTGGCAGGCACAATTTTAAAGATACGATAAAACTAAAAACGCAGTATCGTATAGAATATCCATATCTACCAGACTGCAGAATCTGAATCAGATCGGATCATAATTATAGCCAGAATGAAGAAATTAATTTTCTGTTGGTTCCCTCTCCTTCTCCAGCGCTGCTGACGCTACTGATTCTCTTTCTCGCTCGCACACTCTGCCGCGTTCAGTGCGCGAGCAACCCCTAGCGGAGGAGATGTAGAATATAAATGGTACATGTACAATCTACATGTTAGATGTGGAATATACATTGTAGATGTAGATGTAGATAACAGATGTAGCAAAAAAATGTAAAATGTAAAATGTTTTTTTTTTTAATTCTAAAAAATCATTAGCTCAAAAATGTATATACAGACTGAGTACGGGTATAAGTAGAGTCGCGTCCCCAGAAGCGACTCACACGTTCCTTCTCGTTCTTTATGATAGTATGCTCTCTACATAAATAAACTTCCATTTTCTCCCTATTTGTGGTGATTTCTTTCATATTTTTTAAGTTTAAGCGGATTTTTCGGTTGTGTCCACAACTATGCTTATATTTCTTTTTCTCGAAAAAGGTTTACTTCACTAAATTCTTGATACAATTTTTCTGAATGAAGGAATCAATTTAGTTTTTCACTGATAATAAACAAATACCTCTAGCTTTAAATTGGTGTTTGTATAATATGCATTTG